CCAGGATCTCTCCCTGCAACTCGCGTTCCAAATCCCTTCCAAGTAGCTTCAGAGTCTCTACTTGCGGCTCATGTTCAAATCTCTTCCAAGTCACCTCCGAGCTGTCCAGGATCCCTTCTTGCAACTTGTGTTCCAAATCCCTTTCGAGTTACTTCAGAGTCCCCACTTGCGGCTCGTGTTCAAATTCCTTCTGAGTCACCTCCGAGCTGTCCAGGATCTCTCCCTGCAACTCGCGTTCCAAATCCCTTCCGAGTTGCTTCAGAGTACTCACTTGCGGTCTTCAGAGTACTCACTTCCGGCTTGTGTTCAAATCCCTTCTGAGTCGCTCCAGAAGTCCCTATTCGGGCACCAGATGTCAGGTTGTGGCCTGGAGAAATGACACCTACTCCATAGGAGTTAACAGTCAAATCCGTTTATTGCAAAGTAATACAGCCTTTTATAGTAGACAAGAGCCAGCCCCCCAAACCCCATAGGTTAACAAGCCTGTTCACGTGCCTAAGTTGAGCTACAGATTGGTAAAAGTCTCTGTCCATGTGCTCTGCCAGCCTTTATGTAACTCTTAGGATTGTTGAACCTAGCCTTGCCAAGTTTACCATTCTTGTCCGGGCGAACCGCCAATGGAGCCTCCTATCTTTCATTGTTTTGCTTTCCTCCTGCTTCAAGGTCACTTCACGGACTTTCTAGACCAAAACCAAGGCCTGTACTGATTGTTCATGCTAAGCAAATCATGTCCAACACGCTCCGCAAGGCACGATTCCACAGAGAAGACCTTGTCTTCTGCACAAAGACTGCTTAAAGGCAGGAACAAAAGTAGCTGGGAAGAGAAATTTGCTACTGTTGAGAAGGAAGCACTAGCTTTGCTATCCAGAAAGTAGAAAGTCTGCCCCTGTAAATGCAGAAAGTGTTAGGAACGTAGTGCTTTGACAAAACAGAAAAGCTTGTGTTGGCAAGAAGGTGAATTTCCTGGTAAGCATCACAATTACTTGCCTTAATTGATGATATAGAGTTCAGATAGAAAACCGAAAATATGACAGTTGCTGCCTTCCTTTGCTTGCATTTGTCTTCAAATGCCTGGCCAATGATGATGTGGAATCAGTTGCCTGCATTAGCCTCAGGTCCCAGGAGAGCAGGTTGACCTTGTGTGATGAAGACTTCAGTAATTGGATAGCATGAGATCTGAAAACTAGATGGCCTAATGGTCCCAAATATCCTGATACAGATGTACTGTTGTACTGTAGACTGCAGAAAAATTTTCCTTATAACATAATGTGACCTGGAGGAGGCACAGTGTCAGTTGGTTTACAGTTTATATTCCATTCCTTTCCTTCTTAAAGGTGCTATGCTTGCATGTTCATTGTTCTAATGCAAATATTCTTCCAGTGGATGTCTCTCAAATTATGTTAGAAAATATTTTAGTTCATCAACTCAAATTCTGGTGTTTTGGGTGCTGGGTTTTTGTTTGTTTGTTTGTTGTTTGTTTTTTGTTGTTGTTGTTGTTGTTGTTTTTTTAACTTGCCATAGGAAAGATTTGGGCATTAAGAAAACTATGCTGATGAAAGTGCTGAAAGCAGCTCTTCAGCCCAAGCCTGCGGTATATTTAGGATAAACTTAAATTAGAATTTTTAGAGTAGATTTATTGTCTGAATTCTTTGCTTTTCCTTGGATAAACCTGTGCTAAACATGTGGTAGGGGTTAGTAAGCCATGCTAAATATAAGAAAATTCATATTTCTCATCCTGCTCAGGTATGTGCAGTAGTATTTTGGATATGTGCCTACTATCTGAAAAATTGAGCATTTATTTCTGCTGCTCTTGTGACTTCCATGTCATCACACATTCACTCAATTTGCTGCATGTGTGACTTTATTCTTTACTGTCCTCATACCCACCCTATACAGAGGTAGCACTTTGATCCTTTGCTTTTTTTAAAGGGTTAGCATGATATACAGAGAATGTGGATTATCAATATATATAATGGGCAGGATTCACTCAAACATAATATATCTTTTATAACCTGTGTTCAGTTGGTTATATTAATCATATAGGTTATTTATGTGATACATGATTTTATAAATTTGATAATGTTTGAAAAGTGAGCAAAGATTTGTGTTCTAACTAGTGGAAGGTCTCAGCTAGCAGAATTTTACTTTCTGGCAAAAACCTCTATTCTACCTCTTTTTGTATAGCAGACAAGCAATATTTGAAGACTGTTAAAACAATAATAAATCTGTTCCTGGTATGGCAGCTTTAGTATCGTTAGTGCTTTCTTCAATTTCAGTGCAGCCTAGTCATCATGTTTATTCTAGCCAAACTTTGCTTTTTCTAACAGCACTGATTTGGTAACACTGATTCAGAAGCCTGTGACTTCTACCCAAGAGACAGAAGGCAACTCATTTGAGGCTCCCCAGCAGACCTATGGCCAAGCCCTAGTCTTCACAAATTCTCAGCACAGCACTCAGATGGCATCTGGAACTGACGGCTCCACTGCTGTAAACATTTATTCTCCTCAAAGTCTGGTAAAATTATCTTATGCTTCCTAAATATTCTTCATGAGTAAATATTTCAGGGTAAACAACTTTTCCAGTACTGGTCATTTCATGAGATGTTTCAGTATTTGTAAAACTCAGGTTACAAATGTTGAAGGAATGGAATTAAGAATTTCATTCCTTTCATTCACACACACACAAAAAAGGATTACTTTTCTTATTCCTCTGGTTTTGCTAAGTAGTTGTTTCTCAGTTTACATGAAGTAATTGTATTAATTTTTGAATAGAGAGCAGATGCATTTACTGCATGCTGATTTAGGATGAAATCACTCATTTACAGTGAAGAGTTGTGTGCCAGAAAAATATGATGTGTTATTTCCAAGTACATATCTGACTGCTTTTTGTGGAAACCTGATTATTTCTGAGTCAATTGTGAGGGCTTGAAATTGGGCACTCGTATTTATTCTCTGAAAATCAGTTCAACTATTAGCAGATACATGCTATTTTGAGATGCATGGATTCAAGTAAATCAGTATTGTTGCTATCAGAGGTAGAAGTTGTATCGGTGATAATGTAGCCATTGACCCTATGGTTGTGTTCAAATTATTTATTAAGTAATTAACTCCGCTCCTTCC